ATCCTGCTGCGTCTGCTACAGGATAATGGTCCCGCTGGGGAAGGCCCTTCATGTTGGATTGCTGTTAAATCCATTTTGAAAAACACACAGACAGCCAAACTTGCCAAAGACCAGTAGCTTTGATTTGATACAACCCCATGAGTTAGCGGTGTCCACAACCCTTTGGTCCCTTTGGCTAGCACTGCAAGTGCTGGCTGGAGGCAGGTGTATACTGTGTGCATTTTAGAGGTGAAGAAATTGTTGTAAAAAACAAATGAAAGGTGAAGAGTTCCTCAGTTTTCAATCATTCTGCTGCTACCTCCCCCCTTCAAGTTTTGGTAATCTCTTTAGAGTGGTGTAGGCTGCATGGGATGAGTGTGGGAAGAACATGCCAGCACGGAACTTACTAGAACTTGAACCACACTTGGACTCCGTTGCATTCTTTTTGCTTTCTGGTGACAAGCAGGCAAAGAGCTAGCCTAAAGATCAACCCTTAAAGGGTTTGTAACCTTCCCAGAAGGCAAGGTACGAGAGCATATTTGTGTGCTATCTTTTTTTTATTATTTATTTTTTGAGAGGTTATTAGGAATTGAACTCAGGGACTGATGATTGCCATGCAGGTGCTTTGCCACTGAGCTAAATCCCTAGCTCTGGAGCTAAATCCCTGGCCATGTCTTTAAAAAAAAAAAAAACAAAACTTTTTTTGGAATAATTTTTGACTCCCACGAAGTTACCATAGTGGGAGAGCAGGTTCCTATTTTCCACCTCCGGCTTGCTCCAGTCACAGCATCGCATGAGAGGTCTTCCCAAGGTCTTTTCCTATCAGAAGAAGGTTTAGCCATCCTCCCTGGGCCCCTGTCAGCGTGTGTTATCGGGATCACAGCAGTGTTTGTATTGTATTTACTAAACGTCAGCAGTGTCTCTGGAAACCATTCTTAGATACCACAGCCCCTGGTAACTCACGGTCTCCTTTTCAGGGATGAAGGAACTGGGCATCTTGGGGTGACACTGTGGCAGTCAAGGTTTGGACTCTGGGTCTGAAGGGGTGTGTTCTGTGGCCTCTCCTGGAGGTCTCACTGCACATTCACAGCTCAGATGAGGAGGAGGCCAGCTTCTCCACGGGTGGTATTTCCCTCCCTCCGTTGTCCTGGGTCACTGAGGCTCTGGTCTCTCTTTGGGCAGCTACTGCTAGACAGGGAAAGAGGGATATTGAAATGCTAATTAGTCCTCTTCTGTCTCATTTCTGCGATGCTTGGTCCCTGATCCTCACAGAGTAGTAGCAAGTTAATCAATGCAGAAGTCTCAGGGCTCTCATGCTGATGCCAAGGTGTGTGAGACTATGCTGGCAGGCAGCCCATCTGGGCAGGGCTGTGCTGTAGGTGTTCAAGCCCAGCTGCCACATTGAGCACCCTTCAGAAGCATTTTCCCAAATCCCACTCAGGGTCACAGTCCTGCAAGGATTGGTCACTTCTTCAAAGTGGCTTGATTCCAAATGAAATCATTGTGTATCAATTATCACTGCCACCTGCCTGCTCTTTAAATATCCCGTTGCTTCTGTGAGTGCAGTGGGAAAGGAAAGGGTGCCCAGAGGGAAAGGTCACGTCTATCTCAGGGTTGCATTTGCTGCCAGATACAACAGAAACCAAGAACATTTGAGCCCAAACGACCTTGGTAACCTGATCTCTCAATATTCCACGTGTTGCAGCCAAGGACTAAATGCTGGAGTCTAATGTCTAAGAGGTGATTAGCACTGTGGCATTTAGAAACTGCTTTCATGTTCATCTGAGCCTACTAAGGTCTACTAAGCCAGTCCAGTTCTCCAGCCATCAGGAATGAGTCAGATTCCAATGAATAGGATGGTAAAGCAATGTTGACTTCCGCAAATGGTGTTTATTTTTCTTACAAATAAAAACCCAGAAGGCAGGCAGTCCTGGAGCTGGGTGACACCATCAGAAACTGTTCACCTTCTTCCATCTCCTCTGCCCTCCATAGCATATTGGTTTGCTGCATTGTGATTGTGAAGTAGCTGCTACACTCCAACCCTCATATATAGAGAAAGAAGCTGCCAACGTTGTGGGATTCGTCTTTTGTAAAATAAGCAGAAATCTTCAGATCCCCACCCTCAACCACAGCAGATAGCTGCATTTGTCTCTTTGGCTTAGACTGAGTCTTCTGGCCACCCATAGCTGCAAGGGAAGCACTCAGGAAGTGACTATGTATTTAGCTCCTCAGATTTAACTGTACAGGTTACACGAAGAAGGCCAAGGAGACATGCCACAGTCCTTTCCTCTTCTCACATGTCCCTTAAAAAATACATTTCATTGGTCTGCAGTTGGGTGAGTTCATCTTAGTCCTGTATTCATGGCATAGGGGCAGAGAAGTGCCTTTTATAGATTGCATCTCCTTTATTTGCACAAAATATGTAATGTTTTATGTGCTCTCTTCTTTGCTTCTTCCCTTCCTTCCTCCCTCCCTCTCTTCCTTCCATCCTCCTTCAGTTTTTTCATACATTGAAATGCACAAATCTTTACTAGATCACTGGAAGGACTTTTACTGTTGTCTCCATGAAAGCGCACAGAGTAGTATAGACACCACTCCCGGCCCTGAGACCTTCCTCTTCTCCCCTCTGGCAGTGCCCCTCAAAGGCAGCCATTGTTCTCATCGCTGTCCCCATAGTCACTTTGCTCCATTCTTGGACTTCATCGAAATGGAATCATACATCTGAATGTCCCTTTGTGGGTCTGACCTCTTTCCCTCCGCTGTGAGACTCATCCCTGTTAGCCCATTGGGCAGGACTTCATTTATCTCCTGCTTTCTCCTATACCACATCTCTCCACACAGACCTGAAATAAATGGCATTTAGGAGAACCTGAGCAGCTCCAAACCGGAAGTTTCCTGTTTCCACTCCCATAGGGCTTTTTCCTCCTAAAACCACCCTCTGTGGTTTCTCACAAAGCCTGTCTGAGGGCTGCTCTCTCTAGCTCTAAGTCTGCTTTAAAAGGAATCTTTGGGGGATTTGTAGGTTTGCCTTGGATACTGCCAGTATTAAAGAATTTTCTAGAGAACATCTTCATTTGGCAAGGCTGGGAAAAGGGAGGAGGAGAGGGACATATTCAGGAAGGACATTTTTAGGCAAAGGGAAAAACAGCCGCTAAAGGCGTCATTTGGAACCAGAGCCTGGAAGGCAGCCTTCTGAGCAGGGATTTGCATTGCTCTGTGTCCCTCCCCTTCCTGGAGTCTCAATTCAGAGTCCAAGGGCACTGAAGACTACCCACAGCTCTGCCTGCCTTGGGGTTGGACAGGCTAGTCTGAATTCAGGTTGACTCATGAGAAACCATCTTTCCCCCAAGACTGTGGCTTGGGATTCCACTATCAAAGCCAGTGGGGTGCATGTTGTGAGAACACCCTGTTCCAGGAGGACTTGAGAGCAAGGGAAAAAACTGGTGCATTTCCACGGAGTCTTAAATGAAGATGAAAGGACTCACTATTCCTACAAGTGTGGTCGTGTAGGTAAGTCAGGGAGCAAGGGAAAGTCAGGGAGCCATGCAGTCAGCCCTGGTGGCTGGTCCTCGTCATCTGCCTTCTAGATGTGTGCTGGTTCTTAGCCTTCTGTCTGCTAGGATTCAGTAGTAGAATGCTTGGCTAAGGCATAATCAAGGATCCTTTGTGCAGTTAGAGTACTCTGTTAGGTTTATTGCATAATTTCTGTAACCTTTGCCCTTGCTAGAGGCCTTGCAATATATTATTTCAGTTATTATCCACAGGATTTGGGGATGTAAGTAGAATTTTTCTCATTTTAATAGTGAGTAAATTGAGGGTTAGAGAATTTAAGTAACCTCTAGTAAGTAACAGAGAGTAGGGAGATTTATATTTGAAACAGTCTCAGATTCCAAAGACCTTCTACTACAATATCCTTCTTTCTTGGTGGGGGGAAGGGGCTGGCCTTGAACTCATGATGATCCTCCTGTCTCAGCCTCCCAAGTGCTGGGGTGTAGTTGTGCACCATCACGCCTGGCTCACCTCCTACCTTTTCAAAATAAATTTGCACCATTTTTTGTTCTTGAGACAGGGTCTTGTAAATTACCTAGACTGACCTTGAACCTATGATCCTCCTGCCTCACCCTCCCAAATGCTAGGATTACAAGCGTGAACCACCATGTCTGAGCTAAACCTCCACCATTCTGATATGCCAACTTTCTTGTCATTTCACCCTGTGCCCAGCCATTATCCCCTTTCTCCAATGCTTGTTCAACAGCTGATTGATTTTAGAACAGCTGAGAGCTGCAAGGACTTTGCCACATATTTTGATTCTAGCTAATTGTTGAAGCTTCCCTGTAATAGAGTACACACATTTAGTAGCCTCAAAGGATCTGTTACGTTTTATTAAAGGAATTTTAAAAAAACTACTTACAACCAAAAGTGTAGTGGAAAGGACCTGGCGTTAGTGATAGGGAGACACTGGTTTTATTCCTAGTGTTACCACAAATCCAAAGAAATGGTAAGACCTGGGATAGAGACCGAACTGCTATGTGTCTCAGTTTCCCTGATTTGTCCCCCAGCTGTCCTAAAAACCAGAGTCTCTATGAACTTTCATGGTTTTGGTTTTGGGGATTCTAAAATGGGTTCCAAATGCAAAGTTATCAAAGAAGCCTTAATTATTAAATGTAAGTCCAGAGAAGTTGATAACATTGAAACCTTCACAAAATTTTAAGAATATATAACTCCTTTATCCTTCCAAGTCAAGCTACATTTTCCACTGCATTTCCCAGTCTGTTACTCCCACCAAGAAAGGTATAGATTCTTCAGTAATTCATATCAGAGCTTAGATTCCATGAGGGTCTGTCTGGTTTTCATCTCGGAGATGAGGATGTAAAATATTGCCAGGAGCCAACTCCAGGTTCCAAACCCCTCCTTATTCAGTTGTATGACTTACTAATGTAAACTGTTTTCAAGTATATGTGGTACTGTTGCGTTAACACGAATGCACTGTCCTTAAAGAACCTGATACTGCTTTGTTTCAGACCCAGTAAAGAGAGAACTGGCCATGTGAGTGACTCAGGGGCCTCTGTCGTCAAACATGGGCTCAGTCCAGAGAAGCCCTTCATGCAGGTTCATTATTTAAAGGTAAGAGCATTCAGTGGCAGAAGGCACTTGTGAGAGTGCAGCGTGTTTTAGGTTGTATGATGATCAGCAGCATGGCTGAGGAAAAGGCATGGCAGAAGATTGTCTACACTGCAGTGGTGTCTGCGTGGATTGGAGAGTGCACTCATTAAAGCACTTCCTGCCCTCTTCCTCATCCTGTGTAGGTCACCTTGGAAGAGCAGAACCTGCACATTGTTCTCTGGTCCAGTGGGACAATGGGAGCGATAAAGCAAGGCTATTCCTGGGAGCTGGCACAGAGAGGAGCTGACCTCTCTCCCCTTTTGGTTCGAGATGGCCATCCAAGTTATACAGAGTCCAAACAGGGTTGGTGATGAGCTTACCAAAGAAGCTGCAGGCTCCGTAGTTCCCCCTCAATTCCTGCTGGGGCTTCCTGGTCAGAATGCAAAGGGCAGCCTAGTGGTGGTGCTTGTGAGCTGTGCCCTGTACATGGTGAACGAGTTGGAGTTTGCAAAGGTTTTTACACTTCCGTGCCGAACCCACAGTGGGCCTCGCTCTCTCTCTCTCTATGTTCCAGGGCTACTTCCTCCTTCGGTTCCTTGCCAGAAGACTTGGGCAGGAAACCTATTTTTCGTGTTTAAGAAAATTCGTGCACAAGTTTCATGGGCAGCTGATTCTTTCCCAGGTAATGTTCGGGCCCTTGCAAGTTCATGCTGTATACTTGGAGGGGATTAGATTACCCCAGTATTAAAAATAGGAGAAAGCGTTTTCCACTTCCTGCAGTGAGAAGGTTAATGAAGTGGACAGGAGGAGAGTGTTGTCCTAGGGGGAGGGAACAGCCCTGTTGTTTGGGGACAAGCTGCTACCCAGAGCTGTCTTGTACACAGTGATGCAAATAGCTGTACCCAGGTGACCTTCACAAACCCACAGCTGCCCTGCTGTTCCCTCTCCCTGAGATCTCTCTGCAAGGCTGTGTGCCTCTTACCTTTCAGCCTGGACTCAGCCTCGCTGAAGATCAGCCTTGCCCTCTCCTCCCCTTTCATTTTCACTGCATTCAGTATCACTGTTATTATCTATAATTATATTTCCACCTGTAGGCTGTTTCTTTTGTATCTCTTTCTCTTTTATATATAAACTCAAGAAGGTCAAGCATGCTTTTTATTTTCCCCAGTCCTTAGTACCTGGCTGGCACACAGGAGGTAGGCCAGAAAGAGAGATAAATATGCTAATAGCCGAGGGTTTAGCTCAGTGGTGTAAGCACCTGCCTGGCAAGCGTGAGTTCAATTCTCGGTACCAAAAAAAAATCATGCTAATAACAAGATACACTGGAATATTCAGATAGCATGGCCAGAGCTCTCAGAGGAGACCCTGCGGGCAGCAGCACACAGCAAGAAGGCTAATGAAGAACGAGAGGCTCTGGAGATGGAGCTCAGCGAGGACAGATGATGCATGCATCTTTTGCAAAGATTTGACCAGAGTATTTTTGACACTTGATTATTATGGTCACACACAACGTAAGCCACAGTACCCACAGTGTGGATGTAAAGGGTGTGCGTGTGTAATCTGAACACACGCAAGGGGGGTATCAAATCCTTCACTTTTCCTTTCACCTCTTTTGAAGAGCGAGTTTATTGTTTTTCCATAACAACTTTGTTGAGGTAAAGTTCACCCTTTCAGATATACAGGCTAGTGGTCTTTAATATATTCACGGGTTGTACAATCATCAACAGTATCTAACTTTAAAGCATTTTCATCAAAATCAGAAGAAACCGCCAACAATCCTGCCTCCATTTTCCCTTTCTCCCTATTCCTAGGGAAGCACTAATCTTCATTCTATCTCTATAGAGCTGTCTATGGTTTACATTTCATAGAAAAGAATCGTAAGATATCCATCCACCTTTGGTGTCTGACCTTCATGCAAAAAACATAGCATCCTTCACCGCTTCATTCCTTTTTCTTTGTTTTTTAAGCCTGAGTCTCTCCGTGGCCCAGGCTGGTCTCAGTCTCCTGGGCTTAAGTGGTCCTCTTGGCTGGTGTCAAATTCCTGCGCTCAAGTGATCCTCCTGCCTCAGCCTCCTGAACAGCATTCCTTAATTTTGTTAATTGTGGTAACATATACATGCCATGAAAACTGCAACTCCAAACCCCTTAAACAGTATTACCCGTTCTCCTCACACTCCCCTCCCTCAGCCTCTGGTACCCACTGTTCTACTTTCTTTCTGTGAATTTGACTACTAAGTACTTCATGTAAATAGGGCCATGCAATGTTTGTCCTTTGTGTCTAGCTTCCCTCCCTTTGCATGATGTCTCCAGTGTCATCCAAGTTACAGCAATGAGAATAGTCTTCCTTCCTGATGTTGAATAAATATTCCATTGCGTGTCTGTATCACATTTTGTTTAACCATTCTTGTGTGCATGACATTTGGTTCATTGCCATCTTTTGGCTGTCATGAATGACGCTCCCGTGTTGGTTAGTTACAAATATTCGCATCAGTCTCTCCTCCAGCACCGTGGGGCTTATCCGCAGGTGTGGGGTTACTTGATTACACGGTAATTCTGTGGGGGGCTGTGGAGCAGCTCCGTGTTTCCAAGAGCGGCTGCACCACTCCCCACTCCCCGCGGTGGTGCAGAGACTTTCCACCTCCGGACACCCTTGCCTCCTTCCTTGTATTCTCTACTCCGCCTCTGCACTAAATCCTGGTGTGAATTGTATCTTGTGACGGTCTGAATTTTCATTTCTCCATTAGCTAATGATGTTGAACTTTGTTTTTTTTTCTTTTCTTTTGGGGCTGGGGTGGAGATGAAAGATACTGAAGTTAGAATCCAGGGTCTTCTCACTGAGATACATTTGCAGCCTTTAAACAAATCTTTTTTTTTTTTTTTAATCTTTTATTTTGAGACAAGGTCTTGCTAAATTGCCCAGGCTCGGCTCAGATTTGGGATTACAAACCACCATCCCCAGCTATGCTGAGCATTATTTTAATGTGATTTTTGGCCATTTGTGTATCTCTTTTACAGAAATGTCTGTTTAGATTGTTGCCTATTTCTTATCTGGGTTGCCTTTTATTGTTGATTTATAAGAATACTTCATCCTTCTGGGTATAAGTCTCTTATCAGGTGTATGATTTGCAAATGTTTTCTCTCGTTCTTTGAATTGTCTTTTCACTTTTTGATAGTGTTCTTTATAGTGCAAATGTTTTTAATGGTGACAAACCCGGTTTATCTCTCTCTCTTTGACTACATGTGTCTGCAGAGTGGCAGAACTAGGAAACAGGTGCTTTGTGCAGGAAGGTTCATGAGGGTTTGCTCCTGTGTTTGCATCAATGAGATTCATAGTTTTAGCTCATAGTTGTGTTGGTTTCTGGTCTGTTTTGTATGTATTTTCATGTATGGTGTGAAGACGATAGTCCAACTTCATTCTTTTGGATGTGGATATCTAGTTGTTCTGTAACCATCTCATGAAAAGGCTGTTCTTTTTCTTCATTGACTTGTCTTACCTGGGGATTTAGTTCAGCGGCATAAGTGCCTGTCTGGCGACCTTGAGGTCGTGAGTTGGATCCCTGGTACCAAAAAAAAAAAAAAAAAAAAAAAAAAAAAAAAAAAAAAAAATCCCCAAACCAAACAACAACAATAAAATGCAAAATTGTCTCAATATCTTTGCTGAAACCAACTGACTATTAATGCAAGAATTTATTTCTCTACTCTCAATTCTATCACTATTTTTAGCCTTATGCTAATATCAGATTACTTGGTTATTGTAGTTTTGTATTAAATTTGGAATTTTGCTTTGTTTTTTGAGACAGGATCTCTCTATGTAGTATAGCAGAAAATGACCCCCTGTCTGCCAGGATGCATCAGTTTCTTAGTTGCCCAGGTAATAGTTCCTGTTCCAGTTCAGGTTGCTCCTGTGTCTTAGAAATGGCTGGTCACTATGATGTGTATTATAAGAACCAATCCCCAGGTGACAAGTCATTCTGCCACTGTACTTCCTGCTTGCTTATGCCATATAAGCCCTAGACCACCAGAGATCAGGGTCTGATATTCTGGGAACCATCCTGATCAGTGCCCATTGACGAAAATAAACCTGCCTCCAACTTCTTGGGTATCATTTTGTTGTTTCTGTTTGTTGTTGCAGTAGCTTAGGCTGGCTTTGGGCTCACTATGTAGCCTAAAATGACCTTGAAGTTGCAGCAATTCTCCTGTCTCAGCCACCTCAGCTAGGACTAAAGGTGTGTGCCACCATAGCCAACACTGGAAATGACTGGTTTTTCAACTGCCACGTACTCTACAAAAATTTAAGCAAGCTGGGCACAGTGGTGCATACCTATAATCCTAGGTACTCTGGTACCTGAAGCAGGAAGATCAGAAGTTCAAGGCCAGCCTGAGCAATTTAGCAAACCTGTGTCTCAAAAAATTTTAAAAAGTGTTGAAGTAGAGTGCTTGCTTAAACATGTGGGGCTTGAGTTCAATATCCAACACTGCCATAAACAAAAACAAAAAAATAATGCAGAAAATTACAACGAAGGATTTAAAGTATCATTCAAAGTTCTCTCACCCTGAGCTACCTTTAATTAATATGAAGTGAGGGGTTGGGGATTTAGCTCAGCGGCATAAACACCTGCCTTGCAAGCAGGCAGTCATGAGTTTGATCCCTGGTGCCGATAAAAAGGAAAAAGACAAAAAAAAATTAATATGAAGTGAAAACATAATTCCAGAAATCGCACTTTCTATATATTATATTGAAATGATGTGTGTACGTATATGTCTATGTATATATATGCATGGCATGTGTGATGGATGTACACATGTGTACACAGAGGTCATTAGACAGCCATAATGTCATAAAAATAGGACTATACTATGGGTATTTGTTGGGGAGTGGTGCTGGGGATTGAACCCAGAGTCTCATGTGTACTAGGCAAGCACTGTATTACTATGCCAGATGCTTAACCCCTATGTGTGCTTTTTAATTAAATTTTTAAATTTTCTTTCACTCAAACTTCATAAATGAAACACTAAAAGAACTTTCTGAACATGAAATCAATGTAAGAGCGATCACTTTCTAAAACAATTTTTCTATGGTTAAGAAATTTATTGCCCAAAAATGTTAAAAGGTTGCAACTGGTGCTTTTTTCCTCTTCATGTAAGTATTTCACTTAGAAATGCATCAGATTATTCATGGCTGTAAAGATGAGGAAATGAGCTGTTACATACTTTTACTGCCTTCTCTATTTTAATTTTTCTTGTTATTTTTATATAGTCAAGGTTTATTTCATTAATAGTATCTGTTGTAACTATAATTTTCACAGTTGAGTAGTCTTAGCTCTGTGTGTGAAGGGTTTCAGCATTCTCCACCAATCATTTTGCCATGCTTCTGTATTCATGAACATTTAATTTTGATCCCAGTCTTTGTTGGCTGAATTTCATTATCAAATTGATGTTGACGGTTGTAGTCTCACAGGCTGTGAGACTTCTGAGCTTTTGATGCTAGAGAATACTTGTTTACCGTCTGCTCTGGAATTGCAGGCTGGCTGGGTTTAACATTCTTGGGTCATATTTTTGTTCCTCAGAACTTTATAGGCATTGCTCAACTGCCCTCTGGCATCATATACCTTGTGAAAATCACCCATTTCTCACCCTGGATACCACTTAGATGAAGCTTAGTAATTTAATTACAAAAAATGG